CAACGCTGGACCGTGGCTTAGCTGAAGAGGCAACTGGAACATTTGCGGGGTGGCCAAGGGGCGCCCCCACAGCAGAAATCGCCGTGGGGCCTGCAAGACGTCGATTTCGCTGGCATCGAGAGGCTCGAGTGCACTGGGGACGGCTTTAAATGCAGACGGTTATCGCCAGCCCCGCAACGGACTCAGAATGGGTGACCCAGCCGTAAGGCGAGGGCACCATGGGCAGCCCCGCAGAGGAGGAAATCCCCAATAACCGGCGAGGACTCGGATACGGAGTTGGGCGACGGCCTCGACAGGTGCAGCCCAGTTGAACTTGCAACGGTCTATGCACCGCTCACCCGGAGTTTGACGCGAAGGCGATGGGCACCATGGTGGGGTTGGGGGACGCCTGGCGCGGCGCGCGGGCTTGTTGGAGGAGGCAGCTGCGCTTCCCCAGAAGGCGCGGCGCGACCGCCCTGGCAACCGGCGACCCCCTTCTGGGGCGCATTTAGCGAGCGGGTGCAGGCATGACTAGGGCGTGGGCACTTCGAGTACGCGCGCGAGCTGACCGAGGTCGGGCATCCTCGAGGCGGGGATAGCAACGGGCGCGGGAGAGGGCCCAGCCGTCCCCGAGTGCGCGGGCCCACATCCAAGAGGCTTATGAGAAACTTTGGAAGGACGTGGCCTACGGCATCGCGCTAGTCACGTCGCGGCAGTCGGAAGGTTTCCTGACGGAGTTAATGGTGGCGCCGCTCGGCAGGGGACCCACGCAGCTACCCGACCACACCCTATGCGCGGAAGGGCGTATGATCCACGCGATGCTGTCCGCCAGCGCGGCCACCGGCAAGCGGGGCCATCCCCTGCCGCCCATCCTCGACGTCGGCAGGTGGCCAGGCATGCCATCTTGCATAGAGCGCGGGGCCCGTGGATACCCTTGTTATGCTCGATGTGGGACCTCTCTAGGGCCTTCAAGTGGATTGAAATTCGGCCAGCTGACGCGAGCGATTTCGGCGCCCCTCTCCCGGGCGCTCCCGCGGGGATCGATGGGGGACGTGCGAATCATCTACCTGGCCATTGTTCGGGTGGGCGGGCGCCCCAGGAAAGTATATGACGCTGGCCTTGGCAGCCAGGGTGTACCGCGACAGCCGCAGACCGGCGCGTCCAGAATGGCATGATGTTATTCACTTCAGGTCGGAGTGGATCATGGACGACCCAGTGATTGTGGAACCCGGCCTGGGGCTGCGAGGCCCCGCTGTCCGAAGGACGCTTTCGCCGTGGCGCGGGGTGATATTTCCCCTTCTCCGCGCTGCGCTGCAGCTTTGTAGGCAGTGAAAATATATGTGTCCGAGCCGTTCCGCATCCTTATCGTTCCCTCCTTGCCCCTCCTCCTTCCCCCGTGGCCCCCGTGCTCTTCCCGCCCCTCCCACCTCAGTTCCCCCTGAGGGATGGCATGGGAGGGTAGGGCGTCGGATATGACGCGAGCGCATGTGACTTGCCCTGCTCTCCGTCTCGTCGTTCGGTTCGAGAATGGCTTGTTTTGCAGCGCGCTTGTTCAAACGTAAGTGGTTGGGAAACAGCTTGGAGGCAGTGCGCGGGCTGCTTGAGAGGCCGCTACGACGCAACTTCGAGGCCTCCTGGGGGGGCGTCTTGGAGGTGATTGTGGAGCCTCTTGGGGGCCTTCTGGGCTTCTTGGGGAGCATGCAGGAGGCGTCCTGGAGGCCTCCTGGGGGTGTGCGGGAGGTAGTGCTTAATCCTTCGGGGGCGCTTTGGGGCACCGTTTGGGGGCCTTTCGAGGGCCGCTTGGAGCCCCTCGGGTTTCCTTGAGTCAGCGCTGGCTGATCTTTGTTCTTGCCCAGATTTCTCGCGACGGCGCGCGCGAAGGCGTTCGAACGATTTCGACGTGCGCGCGCAGCCCGTTTGGTTGCATTTTCTGAACATGGTGACAAGTTATGGTTTTCGCAAGAATTTACAAGGGCGCGCACATTTTTCTTGAAAACCCATGTTGCGGGACCCTTTGTCTAACATGTTTTTAGACGCTCGATTATGCAATCTGCGCGAAGCCGACGGTTTTTGAATGATGTTGGCACGCGCGCGCGACAACGCGCACGCGTGCACTTCTCACAGTTCTTCTGCGCGCGTAGTTCTGTTGCAGAGGGTGGTGGTTGTAGTGGTGGCGGTGATGGTGGTGGTCGGGGGGGGGGGGGGGGGGGCTGTCGGCTGGGATGGTATGAGCTCATAATTAGGATGGGTGGTCGGGCAGAATCACATGTAAGCCGCAATGCGCGAAGCGGGGGGTGACGGGGGTAGACTTTATTTTCTTTTGAGAGAGGAGAATCTACGTTGCGCAACTCACGTGGTGCAGTCTGTATTGTGCAGCCTGTGTGGTGCAATGCGTGTTTCGTATTCTATGTTGTGCAACATGTATTGTGCGACCTCTGTGGTCGGGTGCATGTTGCGCAACGTATGTGTGGTGCAAGCTACGGTGTGCAATCCATGTTGGGGAATCTACGTTGTGCAATATGTGTGATGCTGTCTACGTGCTGCAATATATGTCCGCAGTAAGTTGCCCACGTTGAGGTTCGCGCAATCATCTCGCCCACCCAAGCGCAAGATGGTTTGCAAAGCCTATGCGGCGGCGATTGCGATGAGTGCTTGGAGTTGGCTGGTGCCGCGGCGGCGCTGACCGCTCGGTGAATTGGGCGGGCGCGGTATCATGGCAACGTCGACAACATTAGACGCGCTGATGATAGTACTGATGCTTGTGACGGTGATGACAACGACGACGGCACGGCCAGTGACGGCGCCAATGCTGATGGCGCCCGCGACGATGACGGCGCCCTCGCGTCGGTGATGAAGGTTTTGAAAGGCGTTCGACATGCGCGCGCGGCGGACGCGCGAAAGTGGCCCGCATGGTTTGTTTTGAAACGGGTCGAGCTTCCCCCAGCGCGCGCGACAAGGCGTCCGAATGATTCCGACATGCGGAGCGAGAGGCCCGTTTGGCCGAATATGATGAATATGTTGATCGACGCCAGGTTTTCTGAAGAATTCGCATGCGCATGAGCGCGGGCGCTCGTTTTTGTTTTTGACATTCATGTTGTGAAACCCTGTGTTTTTTTTTCATGCGCTTTCGGGACATTCGATTTTGAAATCCCTACAACACCGACGGTTTTGGAAGGATTCAGGCACGCGCGCGCGACGACGCGCGCGTGTGCACTTCGTCCAACCTGTTGCACAGGATTCTTGCGACAGCACGCGCGCAAAGTCGTTCTTGCGATTCCAACATGCGCGCGCGAGAGGCCCGTTCGGTAGCATGTTATGCTTTGTATTTGTATTTTATTTTTCAATTAAACAACGAAATTCGCAAAAACGCGGGCGCAGTTTTGTGTTTGTTTTGCACATCCTTGTTAGCAAACATTTTTTCACATGTTTTCGTGACATTCGATTCTGAAACCCTTACAACACCGAAGGTTTTGTAGGATTCCCGGCATGCGCTCGCGACGGCGCGCGCGCCCGCGCATGAAATTCGTTTTTTCTGTTGTAAGGGATTTTCCCAAACCGATGAGTTTTAACAAGCGAATGTGCGTGCATAGTTTTTGTGTATATATACACATATACACATATACGTATATGTATACAACAAACAAGAATTCTATGTGTTGGCGCCGAGGTGGCGACGAGGCGGCGACGGCGACAACACAGCCGTCAGACCGATCGTCGGGCCCACACGGCGGGCGGCGACGACTTGGCGACGGGAGGCGACGGCGGAAGCATAACAGCCAAACCGACCGTCAGGTCCAGACGACGGGCGGCAGTGAGGCGGCAACGTGGCGGCGACGGGGGCACCATAGCTGCCAGATTGAGTGTCAAACCCAGACGACGGGTTGCGACGAGGCGGGCACGGGGCGGCGACGGCGGCAACATAGCCGCCAGACCGACTGTTAGGGCCCCAGAACGTAGGAACTCCAGAGTGTAAACATTTTTTGGGGATTAATTGCTACGCTTCTCTTACAATTGAATTTTCCTTTGTGTACGCTGCAGTGGTTGTAGGAAACCTACCCGTCCCCAAATGACATGTATGAAATTTTTGTAACAGGACAAGCCGAGACAATTCTCATATAACGAGCGGGCAGGTCCCATACTAAAGCCTTAGAACTCACACACTAGAAACATGCATTATGCCAGAGGCAGGTTGCACCGATTTGACGCCAGCTTGTAAACACCTCCGAGTTTCCAGACGACATGTGGCAGCTCTTTGGTGCAAGCTGCGCACATAGCATCTGAACAGTTATCTTGCCCCATCAGTTAATTCCATTTTCATGTGGGAGCGAGGCGCCTCTCATTTGTAATGGTATAAGTTGCAGGTGCATGTCTACAGTTGAATTGAGAGGATTGTGTTGCTCGCCTCTGTGACCTTCGCAGTTCTCACATGTTCGTATCAATGTTCATATGGGAACTGAGTACAGTGACGCATTATACCGCTTTCCTTTGAAAACTGTGGATTTTTCTGACGACTGCCAACGGTCTCCAGTAAGATTTGTGACCGCTGCTCAGTTTCAACGCTACACAACTCGTAGATGTAATAATGGGATGCTGGTTCCAACTCCAACTCTGGAACTCATGTTGCCTGCCAGAACAGTTGCTTATACGTAAGAGCTGTTGTACTTGATTGCTGGATCGTCTTGAAACGCTCTACACTCATAATCCCTGCGTGCGGCTTAAGATGGTCAGTTGTAATTTGCATTTTTTCGGCAGGTTAAGACTAGTCACCGACGGAAGGAATCGGTTCCAGAGGGTTGCGGTTGGTCCGTCATGCGGGTAAGCCCTTCCCCGACTGGGGAAGAGGGGTGTGGGAAGGGGAAGCGCTCTAAACCACCTGCGCCCAGGGGCCTGGTGGGATTTTATGGCGACTCCAGCCGTGGCCACCAGGGCGCCCTAGGAAGCTCAGAGAGGCGGACCAGCTCCGAGTCGTCGTCGTCGCCATCGTCGCTGCCGCTGCCGTCGTTACCGTCGTCGCCGCCGAGGCGCCGCCGTCAAGCGCGGCGGGCGCCAGAGACGCGCACGCGCCCGCGGCGGCAAGCGGCGTCGGCGGCGGCGGGCCGCCGAAATTGCAGCCGGGCGACCACTGCTTCTACAGGCGAGGTCGACGACGACGACGATCGCGGCGACGGCAACGGTAGCTGCCTGGAAAGTCAAGGCGCTGCATTGAGGACCGCTTTGGGCTCAGGGCAGGCTCTGGTTGTCGGACCGTTCCTCAGAGCTGGGTCTGGGACGCTATTCGTGGCCGAGGCTCGCCGTGGCCGTAGCGGTCCTGGTGATAGCACGATGACTGTATAGGTGAGGGCGACGGCTGGGATGCCCTCGGATGCTTGCTCCGTTCTTCCTGCGCCCCACCTCGTCCTCCTCTCCCTCCCCCGTCCCGTTCTGGTCGTTGTCGCCGCCCGCCCGCCGTCGTCGCCGTCCTTTTCCGCCTCATACTACTCTTCCTCCTGCTCCTCCCTCCCCTTCTTCTTTCCTGTCCTCCTCCTCCTCCTCCTCCCCCTCCTCCTCCTCCTCCTCCTCCCCCTCCTCCTCCTCCTCCTTCTCCTCCTCCTCCTTCTCCTCCTCATCCTCATCCTCGTCCTCCTCTTCTCCTGTCCCTCGCCAAAGTCTGCCTGCACAGGAGTTCCACCCACGGCTGGCTGGCCGCGCAAGTCCAGCACTTCTCGGCAGAGGATGGCGATGATATGAGGAGGAGGAGGAGGAGGAGGACGAGGAGGAGGGGGGAGGAGGGGGGAGGAGGAGGAGGGGGAGGAGGAGGAGGAGGAGGACGGAGGAGGAGGAGGAGGAGAGGGAGGAGGAGGAGGAGGAGGATCAGGAGAAACATCAAGACTATGACGATGCTGATGGTGATGATTCTGATGATGGTGATGATGATGATGATGATGATGATGATGATGATGATGATGACGATGCCGATGCTGATGCTGATGATGACGACGATGATTATGCTGCTGATGCTGATGCTGCTGATGATGATGGCAATGATGACACTGATGATGATCATCATGGTTGTGGTGATGATGATGATGATGATGATGATGATGATGATGATGATGATGATGATGATGATCATGATGATGATCATGATCATGATGATGATGATGATGATGATGATGATGATGATGATGATGATGATGATGGGGAGGATGATGAGGATGAGGATTTGGAGGATGATGATGATGCTGATGATGAGGATGAGGATGATGATGATGATGCTTCTGATGCTTCTGATGATGATGATGATGATGATGATGATGATGATGATGAAATGATGATGATGATGATGATGATGATGATGATGATGATGATGATGATGATGATGATGATGATGATGATGATGATGATGATGATGATGATGATGATGATGATGATGATATGATGATGTTGATGATGATGAAGTCATTACGAAGGCTCGCCTCGCCTGTTTGTGCTGCCGTACCCATCCCCTTCAACAAAGGGTTGGCAGGGGTAAAGACGGAGGCGGGAGTGCCCGCAGCGGACAGCTTGCTCAAGGCAAAAGTGCGGGTGCGCGATCTCGCTCCCTCTCGGCCGGCGGGCGCATCTTCACGCATACGCACTACCTTCAGCAAGTCTGCTTACCGGACATTGCAGCCATGTTGTCGTCGGTTGGCAGGGTCCAAGCAGCCTCTCTTGAGCACGACGAGTGCGAATAGCACGTACAAGAACATTCAGAACCGATGAACCGAGATAAACCTGTGTACAATCCGACGATAGATAGGCAGCACACTGGCTATCCGCCGGAAGCTCTTCCACGAGACCCGGAGGCAGTGGTCCCGGAACTGAAGACGGTGTGTTCGGGACTCCCGAACACACGCATGGCTCAAAGAGGCGAGCAAGATCGTTTTCCTCCCCCTCTGGCAGTGTCAGGGGCCTCGCCTTACGTTCTTCACATAAGGTCGGTATACATACCCAGCTTCAGCTTCTGACAGCTATCATGAACCCGCACGGCCGGACACGCCCGAGCCGGAAGACGGCCCCATCCCGAACGAGAAGGCGCGGTCGGTGTCGAGTCGGGACAGCGATCTTCGCCCAGATGGCAGCCTGCGTCGTGCAATCCCCACGGGTTCCATGGCCAGTGCTGGAGACGGTGTACCTCCCATCGAGAATTCGTCGGAGGACGGCCACCTGCGATCGTCAATTCCTCGTTCGTCGCCCGCGGACGCCCGGCTCCGCGACTCGGGGGGTCGTCGCCTGACCAGTGGTCTTGGTGAATCGCCTAAATCCGATGGAGAACTTTCGGCCTTGGAGCCCATTTTTGGCGACCACGCGCGCCCCTCGCAAGCGTCGCCTGCTGCCGATCATTCCTTCGCGCGCCCGCAGCTAACCGAGGGGCGGAGTCAGTCTCCCGGCGAGATCTTCATTGATCGAGAGAACGAAGACGGACGATGCTCAGGACGATGCGGATGACTCAGGGCTGGGCGGCCCCCCTGAGGGCAGCGCCCGTGGCCCAGGATCTCCGCCCCCCAACGCGCAAGTGTCAGGGCGAGTGGGGAGGTCAGAGACGAGCCCGCCCAGGTCTTGAGAGACGCCTCCAGACACGAGGTCTGTCCGGCACGTCCTCTGCCTCTGCCCGAGCTGCTGGCTCAAGCACTTCGAGCTAATTACCGCGTCGCCGAGGAATGTTTCAACGAAGGGTTTAACCGCGCAGATCCCCCTGAATGCGGGTGGCCGGGTGGCCGCGGTCAATGCAAGTAGGCCGTTTGCGGGGCATGATTTGAGAGCTGCTCGCTCTGCGACTAGCTGTTCTGGCTCCGCAGTCGTTTGCCGCCGCGCGCGCGCAGCTGCCCTGCTCTCCGCCGTTTCGAGTGGGGGGAGGCGCAGGGAAGGGAACGGGTTGCCGGGGTGGCATAAAGGGGTAAGGAAACAGCATGGATGTCCGAACAAATCCTGGCGGCGGAACTCCAGCGGAGAGCCGCCGCAAGGCTCCGGGCCGAACAGGGTCGGCACGCGGTGATCCAGGCGGTGGGGCAGGTCGAACATCGACAGCAGCTTATTGCGTCCGAGCGCGCTTGTCCTGCACGCGTGGAGCTAAAACGGATGGCCGATCGATTCGAGGCAACGGTGACGGCCGAGAAACTGGCCCAGGCCATGGGAAAGACCGTCGCCGAGAAAGCTGCGACTGCTGTCCGGGGGGAAAGGCTCAGTCTGTTGGCTGCCGCCTCTGCGTTAACTGGCGAGCTGAGGGCCGCCGAGTCACGCAGCGCGGTCCTGGAGCGAGAGGCCAATGCTGATATTCAGGAGGCCATGGCTGACGAGCGCGCGGCTATGGAGGTTGCCATGCGCGCCGCTGATGAGACTGCTGCTTTTGTCCAGCGAGCCAGAGGCGAGGCCAGTGACCCTCGATAGCGGGGGCAAGCCGTCGCTTTGGAGTCGAGTGCGACTTGCGCGCGCGCGCCCAGGCGGAGGCCCGCGATGCCTTGCGTGAAAACTCAGATGAGAGAGAGAGAGAGAGAGAGAGAGAGAGAGAGAGAGAGAGAGAGAGAGAGAGAGAGAGAGAGAGAGAGAGAGAAAGGAAAAACAAAGAGAGAAAGAGAAAGAGAAAGAGAAAGAGAAAGAGAAAGAAAGAGAGAGAGAGAGAGAGAGAGAGAGAGAGAGAGAGAGAGAGAGAGAGCAAGAGGCAAACGCCAGGCATGGCGCCGCCTCGCGCGGCGCGGAAGCGAGCGCGCCCTAGGCGCTCGAGCGCCGGGAGTCTCGACGGGCCAAGGAGTGCCGCGAAGTGGCCAAAAAGTGTACCGAAGCGGTCTGCGGGGACATGCAGCACGGCGCGAGACTGTCGCCCGAGGCCACCGCAGCTGGCGCCTCGGCAGCCTGGGGGGCGGCGCCCAGACCGGCGCGGTTCGGGCGCACTGCGATGCTTCATCTGCAACAGATCAGCGGTGCACGACTGCGGGCAGTGCCCAAACGCATCATGCAACGAACACTTCTATCGCGAGGAGAACGAATTCGCGAGCTGCTCTGCAGTGCCAGCCAGAAAGGATCGGGGCGCCGAGAGGAGAAACAGAGGGAAGAAGAAGAGCAAGAGCGTAGAACGAGGATGGCGCTGGGAGGGCGAATTGCCGCCCAAACTCTCCCAGGTGCCGGGCCATTCGGTCGTCGACCGATGCCCGGGGCGCCCCGCGGCGGCGCCGCGCGCGTCTTTGAGCGCGGCGCGGGGCAGCAAGCAGAGAGCGAGGTTGCCCGACGCCCGAGGGCACTCCCGGACAGCGCCATGGCCGAGCATCAGAAGATGACCCCAACGCTTCGCGAAGCCACTCTGAACGTGGAACTCCGCGCCGAAGCCGATGTCGGGAAGCGGGGGTTGCGCGCTGAGGAACGCGCCAGGACTGAAGCTCTCGCTGACAAGCGAGGGGCGGAGAAGGGGGGAAAAGCCGGGGAAGGTGAAAACCGCCGAGTCAGGAAGGAGAGGAAATCTGATGGCGCGCAGGCAGTGCCTGCGACGAGTTCTCCTGGGCATCCCCCTCCAGACCCTGCGCAAGCCCGGCGGCGGCGCCGCCGGCTGTGGACGCGCGCGTGCGCGGGGGGGGGGGGGTCGGGAGGCTCAAGGCCCAAATGCGCCGCGCCTGCCAAACAGAACAGGGGCCCTGGCCCTCCTGGCGACGATGGTGGCGACTCCGATGATGACTCTGACTATGAGCCTGATGGAATGGATCCGATGATGGCGATGAAGATGTTGACGAGTCCTCTGATGATGAGAAGAGCAACGATGTGGCGCGGCCGGTATGATCTGCCTTCAGACGACCCGCCCCCTGGCGGTGGTGGCCATGCGTATCTTCCGAACAGCGTTCTGGGGGCGGCCGATCTCTGGGCTGATGCGGGGAAAATGGAGAATGTGAACTTGGGCCTGATGTCCGATGCCAGTTGCTACAAGAAGCGGAGTAGGAACATGATTGGGCTCGTTTCCCCCAGCTCAGCGCTGTGGGCAAGGGCAACTCCGCGAACCCGAGCTGTCTACGACCTGAGATGCGTTCCGGCCGGCCAAGAAGCTAAGCGACCCTCGTGCAATTGGCCGACTCGATCTCATGATGGCATCGGATCCGATGACAAAGGTCAGCACTATTGCCGAGGGCGCGAAGGCGCCCCTTTCCATGAGGCACTGGGCCAGAGAAATTGACCGACTCGATTCGCTGTCTTGGAAGACAGCTAGGATGCTGACAGGTAGCGCCTTTCTGCGCGCCATTGCCGCCCACCTCGCCACTCGACGAGGCCGCGGCCAGGTGTGCGCGCGCCAAGACCCGATGGAAACCATGATCCGCGGTTCGGGCAATCAGGCGTATATTGACCTGTTCCATTTCTATGACGAGGGGGTGAAGATTGCGAATGACGTAGAACAGCCTCACAAATCGTTCGGACCGTCCAGGCAGGGGCATTTCTATCGCCAAATATAGAAGTGCCTGAGCATGGCGAGACCCTTGCAATGTGCGACCACATCAGCGATAAGCACGGAATGGGCATGGAGGCGCGTGAATGGCTGCTCGCGCGCGTCAGCCGGCACGCGCAGACGGATCGGGTCGAATGCGACCGCGAGGTTCAGCGCGAACGGCCGAGCGCCCGCGGTTTCCCAGTGGGAGGCGCGGGGGGGCGGGGGCGGCGGCGGGGGCGATGAGAAGCGCTCGCTCCGCATGAGAGAGTGAGAGACTTGATTGAGAGACGT